TTTTGGTTAGCGGCTCAGTGTGATAAGCATTTGAACCTCCCTAGGGCTTTATCTGACATATCTAGATGTGTAAGAGAGGTAGAATGCCTAATTGCTTGCTGGAAGGCATGGAGACAATTGGTCATGAGCTGGAACGTTTTCAAAATGCAATGACAACCTTTCAGTGGTGGGGCAAGGAAGACGCCAAGAAAGTTCCAAATCAGGGAACTCAATCGCCTTGTGTGAAATGGAGGGGCCATCAAAGTGGTTGTTGACATTCATGTTTATTTCCATTCCCAGACGAGTAATTCAGGCTCCGCCGCTGAAATCCATGCACATTTGGGAGCATGTTTAATTGTTTGCCATCTTTGTTTTTTCTACCGTGCTCAGCTCACGATTGTTCAGTACCAACCGCCACAAACTACGCAGCCTGCAAACTTTCCATGCGGGTAGCCAGCGAGCCACTGTCACAGCCAACATGCTGTGTGTGCTGGAGCGATTCACATAAACACTTCTCACCCACTCTGCTGAAACTGCCCTCCTTCCAGGCGAACACAGCCCATCTCAAGCACGCATGTAAATGTATGCTGCTGGCTTCATAAAGACGAACCCCAACATTCCCAATGTTTTCTCGGGGTGGCATGCCCGATGCAGAACTAGAAAAAAGACTCCTGGGCCACGTCAAAAATGATCAGCGAGCCACAATGGAGAGATCTTTAATTGGCAAAGTTCATGCATGTATTTCTGCCCTGTCCTTTGAATGTTTCCATGCTTTTATTTGGAGGGGAAATTTATGGGAACTTCAACACGTTTGTGGGGAGAGGGGAATTAACAGTAAAACCTGGAGAGAGGACTGCCGGGCATTTCCAGGTCGGGCAGGTTTTTTGTTACAGGCTTTAGTCTCACCACGTTTCTACCGTTTTCTATTCCAAACCAAACTCACTGCCAGCCAGTTGAGGCGGATGCATAGCGCCCCTCCAGGCCACGGGAGAACTGGCCCTCTGAGTTTCTGAGACAGGAACTCTTCACAGTAGAAAGCCCTGTGTTTCTCCGGCGGTATCAAACTGGAACTTTCTGGTTAGCTGCCCAATGTCTTTCCTTCTCCGAGGGTTTTGCCTTACAGAAGTTCTGTAAGTTTTACTGTTTGTTGAGACATTTGGGTGTCTAAGTCACCCATTAGGCATCACCCTCAACTTTCATAATCACGGAATGACTATGGTCAGCAAGCCTTCTTTTGGATCTTTTAGGGAGACTTAACTGAGGGGTCAATAGCCTAGTTCTTTATTCAGCTCTGTTCATCTGCACCCACCCCTTTCACGTCAATATCATGTCATCTTGATTACTAACTTTATGATAGGTTTTGAAGTCACTTGGTCAAATACGTTTTTCTTTACAAGACTCTCTTGGTGATTCTAGATTTCAGGTTTATCCATTTCAATTTTGGGATATTCTGGTCATTTCTAAGAATAGAAAAAATTTAATTTGGATTATATTGGATCTAAGCATCGATTTGACAAGAATTGATAGCTTATTGATATTAAGCATTCCATCCAAAGAAAAGGTACATCTCTCAGTTATTAAGGTTTTCTTTAGTTCCTCTCTGTCATCTATGAGGATAAGTTCAAAAACATTGCTGCAAAATCACAAAAACATTTTTTTAAATCATTTTATTTGGGGCTCGTATAACAACATTTGTACATTTGTTGCCATCATCATTCTAAAAACATTTGTTTTCTATTTGAGCCCTTGGTATCAGCTCCTCATTTTTCCTCTCCCTCCCCAGACCCCTCTTTCATAAACCCTTGATAATTTATAATTATTATTTTGTTATGTCTTACACTTTCCTATGTCTCCCTTGACCCACTTTTCTATTGCCCGTCCCCCAGGGAGAGGGTCTTATGTAGGTCCTTGTAATTGCTTCCCCCTTTCTACCCCACCTTCATTCCACCCTCTCAGTATCGCCACTCTCACCACTGGTTCATCTGTTCTAGATTCCCCGTGTTTCCAGTTCCTCTATGTAACAGTGTACATCCTCTGGTCTAGCCAGATTCGCAAGG